ACCATGCCCGGCTAATTTTTGACTTATTGTAGAGATGAGGTCTCGCCAAGTTGCCCAGGTGGGTCTCGAACCCGCATGCTCAGGCAATCCACTTACCTCAGCCTCCCAAAGCGCTGGGATTACAGGCTGAACCACCGAGCCCGGTTTATCCAGCCTACTTTTGATGGGCAGGACAGTTGGTTCCATGTTTTTGCTTCTGTGAATAGTGCTGCAGTAAACATGTGTGCACAGGTATCTTTTGTATAGAATGATTTGAGTTCCTCTGGGTATATTCCCAGAAGGGGGATTGCTGAGTTGTATGGGAGATTGATTTTTAGATCTTTTAGGAATCGCCACACTGTTTTCCACAGAGGCAGAACTAGTTTACACTCTCACCAACAGTGTAGAAATGTTTCCTTCCCCCTTTCCCCCTCCCGCCCCCCCCGCATCCTTACCAGCATCTGTTTTTTGAATTATTGATGATGGCCATCCTGACTGGAGTTAGGTAGTATCTTGTGTCGTTTTAATTTGCATTTCTTTGATGACTAGTGAGGTTGAGCATTTTTTTCATGTATCTGTTGGCTGCTCGTATGTCTTCTTTTGAGAAGTTGAACACAGTTATTATACAACTTTGAGCTATTACTGTCGGAACACTCTTTTCTCCTGCTTTCTGATGTCTGTCTTCTTGTCCTTCAGATTTTTGTTCACCTGCATCTTCTCAGCAAGCCCTTCTCTGATTACCCAGTTGGAAGTAGTATTCCCATACTTACTCTTTCTCTGTTACATAAAATTGTCATTTTGGGGGGCTATATTATGATTAAATAGGTTTGTGTAGGCTGGCTACTGTTTACAGCATTATATCTATAGAATATACTTTTTTTTCTTGAGTCAGTGTCTCACTTTGTTGCCCAGGCTGAAGTGCAGTGGAATGGTCACAGCTCAGCTCAACTTTTACCTCCTGGGCTCCGACGATCTTCCTACCTCAGCCTCCTGAGTAGCTAGGACTACAGGTGTGCACCACCATACCGGGCTAATATAAAATATGCATATGTATTTTTTTGAGTCGGAGTTTCACTCTGTCACCCATGCTGGAGTGGAGTGCACACTCATGGCCACTGTACCCTCGACCTGTTGAACTCAAGTAATCCTTCTGCCTCAGCCTTCCTAGTAGCTGGAACTAGAGGCATGTACCACCACGCCTGGTTAATTTTTCTTGATTTATTATAGAGACAAGGTCTCACCAAGTTGCCTAGGCTGATCTCAAACCCCAGGGTTCAGGCAATCTTCTCGCTTTAGCATCCCAAAGTGCTGGGATTACAGGCATGATCCACTGAGCCCGCCATACATTTTAAAACTCTAATTTAGAAAAAAGCATTATGAGAATAAATTGTATTTCATACTCCAACCGCAAAGGGCCTACCCTTCTCCTGTATGAGAATATAGCTCTTGAGAACAATTACTTTATTCTGAGTGTTATTTTTCC